ATCATCATCATCATCATCATCATCATCATCATCATCATCATCATCATCACCATCTTCACCGATAACATGATACATATCTTCATCATAATCTTCATGATTTTCATCATCATCGTCTCCATCTGAACCATCATGATCATCCGTAGGATCAACACCATTAACAACATCGTCATCACCATCATCATCCTCATCATCATCAACCGAATCAGCATCATCAACATTATGATCATCATTATCACCGTTATCTTCCGAGTCATCATCATCATCATCGTCATTCGAATCCTCATCATCGTCATCATTGTCGTCATCATCTTCTCCGAATCATCACGATGAGGATGATGATGATGATGTTACAGATGATAATGTTGATGATGAGGATGCGGTAATAAAGATGATAATGATGATGATGCTGGTGATTCGAATTATGTATAAGTCGATGGTGACGATGATGTTTATCCTGAAGAAGATTCGGATGATATTTATCATGGGTCGGATGATTATGATTACGAGCATGTTGATGATGCTGATGATGTTGGTGATGATGTTTCTTCGAATGTTGATGACGGTTCTTCGGTGGTTCACCTTTACAATGACGATGATTCGGATGTTGATTCGGATGATGACGGGGATCACTATGATGACGATGGTAATGATGATGATGATGATGATGAAGATTGCGATGATCATGATGATCATGTTGATGATAATGATGATGATGTTGATGATGATATTGTTGATGAATCCGAAGTGAATGTTGACAATAAAGATGATGGTGATGGTGATGTTTATGATGATGATGATGAAGATGACGATGATGATGGTGAATCCGATGATGATGATGATGATAATATGATTCGGAATATCTTGATGAAAATGGTTCGGATGATGATTATGATGATGAAGATCATGGTGATGATGATGATGATGATGATTCGTATGATGATGAAGATAATGCTGGTAATGATGATGAGGAATATTCGGATGATGATGCGGATGATTCGGAGGAGGATGATGATGATGCTGATGATTCGCATGTTGATGATGGTGATTAAGATCATGCTGATTCGGATGGTGGTGATGATGCTGATGACGATTCGGATGAATCGGATGATGATGTTGATGTTGAAGATGATGATACGTATCATGATGATGATGATGATGATGATGATGGTGATGAAGATGAATCGGATGATGTTGATGATGATGATGATGGTGTTGTAACCGACGATGATGGTGATGATGATGATGATAATGCTTCGGATGATAATGAAAAATGCATGATGATTTCGATGATGACTATCTTGACGCTCACAATTCGGATGAGGATGATGAGGATGATAATGATGATGATGATGATGAGCATGACGATGATGATGATGAACACAATGATTGTGAGGATTCGGGTGATGATAATGATGATGGTGATTATTCGGATGAAGATGATGATGATGATAATGATGATCATGATGATGATGACTCGGATGATGACTCGGATGACGATGATGATGATGCTAATGATTCGGATCATAATGATGATGTTGTTGGTGATTATCAAGATGACAAACATGATGCCGGTGTCGATGATGAGGATTATTCGGATGATGATGATGATGATTCGAATGAGGACGATGATGATAATGATGGTGATGATGATGATGATGATGATGATGATGACAATGATGATGAGGATTCGGTTGATTATAATGATGATGATGATGATGATGATGATGATGATGATGACGATGATGATGATGATTTGGTTGATGTGCTCGATTTGGATGTTGTTCATTCGAATAACGATGTTGTTGCAAATGATGATTTGCACGACCGAAAATTTCCGGCGCTTCTTATAAATGCGACAGCATTAGTTGAAGGCTGAAGTTAAACTGATGAAATTTCTGTCACAGCGGCGTTCGGTGCCAACGACCGATGCAGGAACTCGTGTTTGTCAATCCAGGTCTATATACATTCTCCAGTATTCAATCGTCAATCATCATTTGATTTTTCATGATCATTATCATTATCGTCACATCATCATCATCATCATCGCATCGGAGATGATGCGCACGATGCTCATGGGGATGATGATGACAATGGTAATCACGACGAAGATGACGATGATGTTGTTGACATTTCGGACGATTGTCATGAGGCTGATATTGACGATGATGATTCGATTGATCATGAAGATGATGAGGGTGATGATGATGACGTTGGGGATAACAGCGTTTTTAATGATGACTCGGATGATGATGATTTTTATAATGATGATGTTGGTGAGGATGATTCGAGGATGACAATAATGATGATGACGGTGGTGATGATGAAAACAATATAGGATGTGTGTGCATTTTTTCCGAACAATATTCTCCTTCACATGTGCACCGGTTACAAGCGAAACTCCGTAACTGTGTTCACTGAATCGCCAAAATACCCTTTTTTATTTCTGTATGCTTACGCGTATTCTTATATGGAAAAGACACACGCACGTGCTAGATGAAATAATGTGAAACATCTAAATTGATATTATTTCAACTTTCGGCATTGACAAACATAGATAAGAACCAACGGAGAGATAACCCAGTTTAACAAACAACTGAGGCTAAGAATTTCAGGTTTACTGATGTGTGGATAATAGAATGCCGAGTTTAATTCTGCGTTGTGAATTGAGAAAAAGCACTACTTTTCATGGTTTATGTTGTTACACAAAGATATAATCTTCTCTGATGTCTTTCGTTTTAGTTAGTCCAAATAAAACTAATATTTCAAAACTTCGTGCATAACACAATAAATAAAAACTATAGATTGGAGCTACACCATTTTCCATTCAGTTTTAGCCAAAACCCATGGTCCTTGAACCTCGACACGTAATCCTTTAGCCCAACCCCGTAATGCCCCCGTAGTACCTTAGTCTGCACGCACAAACGTTATTCATACCGCTGTAGGCTAGTCAGATCATAAGGCATCGGGATATTCTGAGCTAAAAGAATATTGAAAAAGGTTTTTTTTCTACCAACATTCACACTACAAAGCTTGGTTGAAAGATTAGGTGTGGTAACCGTGTGCTGCGCAGTTAACCGTCGTATCGAAACCGCATCAAATAATAATCGGAGAAGGCCTAAACGATGTGCCCGTGTTGCGAAATAATTAGGCACATGTCTTATGTCTTCGACGATTTCAGTGAGCCACTTTTTAATGTGCTAAAATAGTAAGCGAATTAAAGAATCAAAAACGCTTGCCTGTTCGAGTTTACAGAATACCTCTTCCAGTGGGTTAAAGAAGGGACTGTATGGTGGAAGATATCTAGTTTGGTGATTGGCATGTGACTACACATTCAAAGCTTCTTAACCAAATGGTGATTTCTATTCGAGAATCGATCAACCAATGTTGGGCTTATGGATGTGACCGCAACGTTTGTCTCCATTATTTCCTTTCCTCACTGTGGTTGTAGGGTTCTCATCAACAACACCATACAAATGTCTTGTGAATTAGCCGTGGAATTTTGCCTTACATGATCCACGTTTGAATGCTATTTCCCGATCCTTGGCTGGAATAGCACAACGTGTTTTGATCTTAATGATGAGGTGTTTTTGCAACTTCCTTCAAATCGTTACCTCTGCTTGCACATTCAATTACCCTCTGTCAGTCTTGCGCACTAGCAATTAAGCTTTTCCTGTCTATCCAAATTAACGTTCTTCCTGTTGCAGATTTAGATAACGGTGGGTAAGGTACAACAAATAATACTGCCACCTGTCGTGGTATACTCTTATAGCCCCATTACCAACGAATAGAATGTCGCATGACAGTACCACAGAGGAAATCCAAAATGTGCCACTACTGTTAGTAAAAATCTAAAATTTAACACAAACGGCGCCGTTTTGCTTTCACAAGCACTGAAATAAATCGAAAATGTAAGCCACACAAACGTGAATACTTACCGTTTAATATCTCTACTTAAAGTGAACACTATTCAAGAGAGATGGAAACACGAACAGTTCGAGGATAATAAACACCGATCACAAAAATACACCCCATCGCTGTTGACGCTATAAATTTGACACAAATAACACGGTTGAGAATTAAGAATCTAATGCTTTGTCCAAAGCTTGATGGGAAAAGACGAAATAAAAGGAAAATCTAATGTGAATGTTGTTTATTCTACTCGCACTGTTACTGTGCCCAACCCTCAAAACGGCGTATAAGTTTGGATGCTTCGGATGACTTGGATGATGATGATGATGCTGATGATCATGATCACAATGAAGAGGATCCGGAGGATGGTGAGTTTAATGATCATGATGATGATGATGATTCAGGAGATGATGGGCAAGATGATGACGCTGATGATGATGTGGATGTTGACGAACATTGGGATAATGTTGACGTCAATGACGGTTTTGATGATGATGATGTTTTGCAAGATTCTGATGCAGATCATGATACTTCGGGTTATGATGATGATGATAGTTAAGATGTTGAAGATGATGATATTGCTGATGATAACTCGGATAATGATGATGATTATGCTGATGGTATTGATGACGATAATGAAGATTATGATTCCGATGATGATGATGATGATGATGATGATGATGATGACGATGATTCGTAAAATGATGATGACGATGACAGTGATTCTGATGTAACGGATAAACGTGATGACGAAGACGATAATGATGCTTCTGCAGAGGATGATTATGTGGATGGTGATGATCATTCGGATGATGATGACAATAATCATGATGATCATGATTTCGATGATGATGAGTCCCTTGATGATGCTGACGATGATTACGATGATGCTGAATCAACTTATAGTAGTAATGAGGGTGATGATTCGGAACATGATGATCATATTCATGATGTCGATGTTGTTGATGAGTCGCTTGATGATGATGATGTGGCTGATGCCGCCGAATTGAATGATGATGGTGATTCGAATAATGATGATCATGATGATTCAGATGATGTTGATGAGGATGAGGATGATCGTGATGATGATGTTGATGTCGCACTATTACTGTGTCCAACTCTCAAAACGGAGTTGAAGTGAAGTGAATATGGAGCATCGAAGCATTCTTTTTTGGTGTCCTTTTTTGATTCCTGTCAAAGCTTGTGAATGGAAAACAATATAACGCTGGTATTACCTTTGACATTAAGATTCCTAGGTCTATCGTATGTTATACGGAAACACGGAAGCTGTACGACGTGTCAAATTGTTCGGTGATACGTGCAGATTATTTAACTATTCTCCAATCAATTTGTCGTGTGTCATGCAACCGCCACATCACATTTCTGAAACAGGATTTGCATTATCAATATTTAGAGAAGATAAAATGTTTCAACATTCGCTGACCTGAGAATATTCTGATGCATCTTGATCTGACTCGCTTACAGTGGCATGAACAAAATGAGTGCATTGAGGCTGAAGGACTACGGATCGTGGCTAACGCGTTGCGGGTTTTGTCTAAAGCTTGGTGGGAAAAAGTTTGGTTATGAAAATTGAATTGTTTTTTTTTGCGTGTTTGTGTAAACATACTCAGGTCTAGTGTCTCTAATATATGAAATCCATCGAACAAGGATAATAATGTGGGAAACTAGGTGATTTTGCATATCTGTGTAGAAATGAGAATCACGGACGAGACCAGTTTGCTCAGATTATAGAACTAGCTGACTTTTCAAACACTCGTCAAACGGTCACTAATCATACACATTCCGGTAACAGACTTCTTGTTGGCGTTATTTCTAGACTAAGGCAGTCTTTCGATGGTGCAGCTAGCTCACTTTGGTACACCCTGAAAACCGAACACCGCGGAAAATGCCACACTGCAATGGCAATACGATCATGTGTCAACACAAACACTTAAGCAGTTGGAATNTACATCGTTCATCCTGCTGTTATAATTTTGTGCTACACGGTGGTCACCGAGGCTAAGTTGGATCTGACAATCAGTTCAGATTTTTCCTATGCTCTGTATGTTTAAAATCACGGTCAGTGCGTTGTGTTAGAAAATTATAAAAAGTGGAGTGTGCACTTCAACACTATTGGAATGAAGTTTTCTGACAGTTTTGCTTATGTGCCCCGAGAAAGAAAGACAAAACAGTCTTTCGTTATGACAGACCCAAACCTGGCGGGTCGGCAATTTTCATTGGAGCTAATCTGTTACCCTGGCTCAGCTGTCCCTCTCTCCTTCAGCTTACCGTACTGGTGAATCAAACTTAGTCAATAAAAGTGATTGTAGTAGCCCGGCAGTTAAATGGGGGTGCTACTAGTTTGTTGGAATCAATGTTCCAATTTCTAACCAATCTTACACACTGATGTGGCACATTCTTCGACGAAGCAAGGTCATCAGTCTAAACANGAGTGTACTGTGTGCGTGTGCCTATGTTTACTAAGGCCAGGACCCAAGATTGCTTACACATTGGTTTATTATGACTCCACGATTGTGTGTATGTGTCAGTGTTTTTGCACCACCGTGCGTTGGTGGTCTGTCTTCTCAATAGCTCAGTTGACTTTTTCTCTGTCTGGTACACATACCTTTCCTCTCGGCAACCCGACTGAGGCTGTGTAGACTATCAGTTGTAGTCGTCCATTTGGCTACTGTCAATCGGTGCCTGTTTATGCGAACTTTATCTGTGTGTGTGTTACTGTGCCTTGTACTGATCCAGTCATAAATAAACTCCATCATACATTGTGCTCCTCTGGCCCACTGGTTTTCACGCGCACATAATCTCACACACATAAATCGGGCCCTCGTGTGTGGAGGAGATACAGGGAAACCGGCGAAAGATTGGATTGTGTCGATCAGGCCTGGATATAAAAATACCGGCACACCTTTATACGCAAATCTGCAAGCACAGAGTGACACCAGCAAAAGCAAAGTGGGCACGCTCACACTTTGCGTAGTTACCAGGGGGAGCGTTCAGCACGTGATCATCTCTCTCACGCTTTGCGTAGGGCTTACAGTGAACATCGTCAGAGCTCGAACTACAATGGCAAGTCACCGCGCTGAAACTGTATTTTTTGCCCCAGTTAATATTGTTCGCCTTTGGATGTCATGAATTAACGTGATTATTTTTATTTGTTTTACATGCCCCAATCACATTGGTAGCAAAGCTTATGAAATGTCTTTTCGTTTTCAAAACAGTATAGTTGTGGCATGAAAAAGTATCTCGTTTTCGGTTTGGTAGCGTTATTACTCGCTAGTTTACTCGGGAGATGGAAGATTTTCATGGAATACCGATTTCAAATTGAGAAGCGGTTTAAAAAGCTCCTCAACTGTCGCATCCTACATTTAGAAACACCACTGTTCTTCGGTATGGACGTTTACCAAGTTCATGAAGCTGAAGTAGTGTACACCAAGACCTGTGAACACATTTTGGTAAAGAACTCAACTGAAGGTTGCTTTGATTGGTAAACCAATAAACCGAGGCCTATTCACCCAATATTATCAGACTGTTTCCTGGTAGGCAGGTACACTTTGACCCGACCGAGGAACCGGTTCATGCGAATATACACACCTGCTTAGTCCATCCACCACACCAACTTTCAGGAATTGCCTAACCTCTCCCTATAGACGAACCCTGGGTCCCTGCTTCCATCGCAGGTGCCTCTGAAATTGTTTTCATGCAACTGACTTGGGCAAATGACTTCGGTTGTAATACTGAAACACTTCGTAAACTTTGCAAATTGTGATCTCTTTTCTCGTCTTTCATCACATTGCTTTCGAGGACTAGGATTAGATGTATTCATAAATTTCGCCATCTGTTACTTTCACTGACTGCATGATATACCATTAAAGTCAAGAGTCGTCCGAAAGTGGCAATATTAAGCGCCGATGGTGATACAAAGCACTTGGACTCCTAGTGCATGTGGTAACGGCCTGTTGCACTTGAAAAGTATCTTTCTTTTCCGAGGGTGGCGTTTGGGTATCTGCTGCACCTCAAATCGGGTTCACATATAATTAGATTAATTATTGTTTTGTTTTGAATTGGCCTGTTTTGCCTTGAAAATCCCTTGCAAGCACTTAACCTCCATTGATGACACCAGAAGAAAAGCCTGTAGGATTTATTGATAGCTAGCATGCACATGTTAGGCCACATTTTTCGCGAACGATGTCCTCTGTAAGCATAAACAAAAATCTCACAGGAAGAACATTCAATGTATTTTGAACGGCTACCACCCTGTTTTTTAATCGCTTATTCGCTTTATTCGATCAATTGGGAGCAGTTCTTGAACAATACATACTTGGAGGTCATATTAGGAGGTACAATTATCGAAATATACCGCTGGCAGCCTTAAAAGGTACTTATTAGTGCACTTTAAACAATACTTGTTCGCAAGAACTAATCAATAAAACGTAATCAAACGAATGATAAAATTCAATACGAGATCCTTCATCTGGTTTATCAGGTGTACTTGAGTGCGCTCTCGCGCAGACTTGGGAAAGGATAAACACATTCAATATATAAATCGAGTGTGCTTGAAGTTGGACAATAAGCTTGCGGTCCTCACGTGAATTGGTAAGCTGAGAAGCAGGTTTGTGATACTACATTATGCAGATATGCGAGATATTCCTTTTTGTTAGTGGTGTGTTTTTCAACGAAGCACGCACCCCACCGAAAACCTCTTTTGTTCAGCTCAATAATGAAACTGAGGAGTGCATATAACACATATTAATTGGGTTTCGATCCAGAGCACAAAGGTTGTTTATCCGACTCGATAAATATATAGGTTAGGCGGATTGACTTTCATTAATTCCTTGAACTTGGGCCATAGACAATTTCGCATTCAACTGTCGGTATCGTTAAAACCTTATCCAACACAATTGGTCTAAATAAAAAGATGATTTATTCCTGAGTCTTACACAAGAATTCGAACACTCAGACATGCGGAAATCTCTGCGTGAAAGGCCTTGGAATACATTGTTATAGTAACCCAACATTATAGTTACCTCTTCCTCAACACCTGGGGGGTCAGATTAGCAATATGTGAACGCGGAGTGTTATTTATATTTGAAAATTTAAATTTTTATGGTAATAAATGCCTCAGATATGTTAAGAAACTACTGTGAATTCCCAGAAGACCGTTTGTGGTACACATTCGTTGAATTCCACTGGAATTCCAAACCTAAATACGAGGTTTTATGAACTGAACCCAACGTCTTAGTAGCGACTAGTTTGATTCCCACAGCACAGTAACCCTTCTCTCCCCACTGATATTCTCCATTACCATTCTATTCCCCGGGATACTTAGCACGGATGACACCGATCAGCAATGAGAAAGCCATCGAGAAAGTTGTAGACTGTTTATTTGGGGTGAACACGTTTTGTGCGATCAAAAATCTGTCCAAAAACGAACTGCGAACATTGCGCAACACACGAACCGTCTGTCACTAAGCATTTTTGGCTGTTCACCCATTTTCATTCAATGACTTTTTACCGAAAGCGCTTTAACGTTTGGTAGCATATTGCCCATAGACTAACATGACAAATCCCCAGTGGACCTCTGTCACAAACCATCAGCGTGCCGTGTGGGCGAAAACTACGGTAAGTTTATTTCCTAGTCACACCAATTTCTTTCTAAAATAAATTAATACAAATGAACAAGGTAAATTGTGTCAATTGACTAGGTGCATCACACTTGCGTCCACCTCACCATTAACATTTACTGATTTAGATCGCAAACAGGTGCTGATCACTTTGTCTCCGTTTCGCATATTATAACTGTCTCTTTAGTAGCGTCAAAAACATTGCACATTACTAAATCGGATTCCATTCATATCCACACGTGCACCATGTTCAGTTGCAATGCCTTTGGTTTGATTAGCATTCGTTGTAGTCAACGCTACGCCAAAAATGGGCACATACATTCCTCTGAAGCGGCAGCACTGCCCTCATATCGCGGGATTATTTTTCACTTCCTCGCTATACATATTCCGTGAACCTACTCAGTTTTTCAACATCCCCGTTTTATTGATCTCCTTGTGATTTAATTTTATCTCACGCGCGCGCTCTGTTAATGTGAACAACAGTGTAAATAACGGAATCTCAACCAAAAAAATGAATGAACTTGAAACGTTTTCAGTCAAACTGAAAGCCTCAACCAGCCACGAGTTTTCGTTCTCTCATAGTTTCATGTAATAATGGGTGCAGATTATGNGAGTTAGGGTTTGCGTCTCTTCACACTCAAAATCACAATAGAAAAGCAATCATTTTCATCAACAAACCAGGGGACTGATCTCGAAAATCATACTTCGGAATCGTGATCGGTTCATCTACAACAAACTCTGATGAGTCACCGTCCTTACCTTTGCCGGGTTAGCTTCAGTTTATAAATGACCCAGGTCCGCTTTATTACAGATGATATGTAAAAACACGCATGCGTGGTAACTACCGTGAACCGTTTTGTACTTCCTCTCCGATTTCGAATAGCACATCTGACTCCCTATCCTTCTAGTTCCGTCTTGTGCATTAGAAGGTTTTGTGAGTGGGGACGCGCAAGAATTATTAAAACTGGCTTCCCTAATGAAGTCAAGTTAAGAAATCACGTCGTACACCTCGATGAGTAGATATTCAGCAACCACATAACCACAGTGTGTCAACAATAGAAAATGGAGAATAAAATAGAGTAATAAACAAAGTGAAGCGGACAGCGACATTATAAACCACTGGCATACAATTTTGTTCATCAACGGTTTGAAGTAGCAATTTGACAGATTTTCTGTAATGAATTCTTGATTTGTGATAAATCTGGCAAGATACGGGACAATAGGGCGCCTGTAAGTCTAATTGCGTGCCCCTATATGTTTATAACTGGAACGGGTGGATGGATTAGATAGGCATGGAGTAAGAGTGGGATATATCGACTGGGAACAATCAGATGAAAGCTTAAAGAATGTTATGCAGGACTTGAGGTGGTATGCCACCACATGTTATACCATATGTTCCCGTGGAATAAGGCAACATACAAACAAAAGCTTGAGGGATCGGAAAATGAGTTTGTGGTCTTTTTAAAAATGTTCGGGAAAGATAACAGTGCACTCCTAAAGCCAGTAGGGCAAAACACAAGCAAAACCAAAACGCTTTGTGAGAGGATTTGGAACGAAAAGTGATTTATGACGTAATACATAAAACGTATGCTTCCTGACTTTCAGTGAAACGTCTCTGATGTGGTCAGACTAGATGAAGATTTGTCACTTACTCCCACTTGGATACCAAATAGCAAGGAATTAGTTGTAGTGGATCACTTTCGTATTTTGGTAGTGGCATAATCACTGACTGGAGCGCAGAAAACGAGATAGTCGCTCACATTTAAAAGGTTCTATCAGCATATACAGAACTGCAACACCTTTAGCTCAGACGCGACGTTTCACTAAATTTGAAAGGTCGTTTATACTAGTGGTGCTAATGCTAGTGGTCGTTTAGTTCTCCTTTATGGTTGTGAGATCTTGATTTTATTAGTAGAGGATATCGATCGACTAGAAGTTTTCGACTGTCGTTGTTTACGCAGTTTAGTCCACGTGGGATGGAGCGAAATGGGTAGTAATGTGGAGGTAATTCGGCGTGAGTTTGAGAGTCTCTCAGATATAAATATGATGGCACATCGAATTAGGATTGAAAGTTTTCCCTGGCTTGGGCACGTAAAGCGTATGACTATGATATTGATTAGGATCATGATGATTCGTATGATGATGATGATATTGATGATGACGATCAATCGGATGATGATGAAGATGTTGATAATGATGCTGGTGATGATTCGCGGGATGATGATGATGATGATGATGATGATGATGACGGGGAAGATAATCATGTTTCGGATTGTGATAGTGATGTTGACGATGATGACGCCGACATTGATGATGCAGAGGATGGTGAGGAAGATGATGATGATGATGATGATGATAATGTTGATGTTTCGGATGATGATGACGATGATGATGATGATAATGATGATGAAGAAAATACTGATGAAGATGAAGAGGATGATTCGCATGATGATGATGATGATGATGATGATGATGGTGACGATGATGATCATTCGGATGATGATGGTGATGATGATCATGAACATGATTATCACGATGATGATGGTGTAAAAGATGATGATCTAGATGACGATGATGATTAGGTTGAAGATCCAGATAATGAACAAGATGATGATGATGATGATTATGATAATGATGATATCATTGATGATGATGAAGATGATCATGTTCATGAACGTGATGGTGATGATGATGATGATGATGATTCGGATAATGATGATGATGATGCTAAAGATGGTGATGATAATGATGACTAAGATGATGCGATTATTCCATTGATGTGGAAGACGACGATGAAGATCATGACCATCAACCTGATCACCAAGATGAATACGACTCCGATTTTGAAGACTCGGAAGATGTTGATAATGATGATGATGATGATGAACCGGATGATCAAGATGATGATTATCGTGATCGTGATGATAACTCGGAAAATGATGATGATGCTGGTGATGAAAATGATGATGATGATGATGATGATGATGCTAACGATGGTGATGATAATGATGATGATAATGATGATGCTGATGATGATAATTCGGATCATGAGGATGATGATGAAGACGATGATGGTGATTTTGATCATGATGGTTAACATGATGACTCGTTTGATGATGATGACTCGGATGTTGATGCAGACTGGGATTATTTGGATCATGATGATGAATTTTAAAAATATGATGATGAAAATGATGAGGATGATGATGATGATGATGAAATTGATGATAAGAGTGATGATGATGATGATGATGATGATGATCATGAGGGATCGTGTTGATGATAATAGCTATGATGACGATGAAGATGAAATTGATGATGATGGTGATCCTAATGATGATGATGATAACGATAATGATGATGATTCGGATGATTATGATAGTGCGGATGATAGTGCTAATGATAGTCATGATGAAGAAGATGAAGACGATGATGATGATGATGATTCGGATGATAATGATGATGTTGATTCGGATGATGATGATGATGACGATCATGAAGATGATGATGATAATTATGATGATGTTGATGATGAGGATTCTTATGAGGAAGATGATGATGACTCGAATGTTGATGACGATGATGATGATGATAATGATGATGATGACTATGAAGATGATGACGATTCGGATGAACTTGGTGATGATTCGAATGATGATGATGATGATGATGATGATGATCACGATGATTGTTTTGTTGATGATGATGAATACGATGATGATGATGTCGATGATGATGACTTGGATGATGATGATGATGACTCGGAAAATAATAGTGATGTTGTTGATGAAGATGATGAAGATGATGCCTGGGATGATCATGATGACGATGATGAGATTGATGAAGAATTGTATGATGTTGATGATGATGATGACTCTGATGATGTTGAAGATGACGATTCGGATGATGATGATGATGATGTTGATGATGATGATGTTAATGAAGATGATGCTTATGATGAACATGATGATAATAATGATGATGATGATAAGGATGTTGATGATGATGATGATGACGATAATGATGATGCTTTTTATTGATTCGGATCTTGATTTTGATGATGATGATGAGGATGATGACGATGAAGCTGAGGACGATGTTGATGACGATTCGGATGAAGATAACGAACATGACGATGATGGTGTTGATGTTGATGTTGATGACAGGGATGATGTTGATGATGATGACAAGGATGATGTTGATGATGAAGATGAGGATCATTATGACGATAATGATGACGGTGATGATGATGGCGATGATGATAATGATGATGATGATGATGATGATGATGATGATGACTCGGATGAAGTTGATGATGATGATTCGGATGATGGCGATGATGCAGATGATGACGATGATGATGATGATGTTTCGGTGGATGACGATGATGATGACTCGGAGTATGATGATAATGATGATGTGGATGATTCGGATGATATTGATGATGATGATGAGGATGTTGATTCGGATGATTTTGATGAGATTGATGGTGATGACAAGCATGATGACGATGAACGAAGATGATGATGATTCGGATGATGTTAATGAGGATGATGATGATAATGATGACGTTGATGATGATGACTACGATGATGAGGATGAGGATGACCATGATGATGATGATGATGATTCGGATGATAATGATGATGATAGTGACGATACGGATGTTGATGATGATGATGATGATGATGAGAATGATGGTGATGACTCGCATGACGAAGATAACGGTGAGGATGAGGATGATGCTGATGATGATGATGATGACGATGATGATGATGATGATAATGATGAAGAAGAGGTTGATGATGATGCTGACGATGACAGTGATGACTTGGATGATGATGATGATGTTGATCATGATGATGATGATGATGAT